TACGTCGTACTACTACTACTACTACTTACGTCTACTCGTCTCTTCTTCTACTCACCTACCACCTACCACTACTCTCTCTTCTACTACTCTACTTACTCTCTCTCTCTCTCTCCTCCTCCTCTCTCTCTCTCTCTCTCTCTCTCTCTCTCTCTCTCTCTCTAGCCCAAACCCCATAGAATCTCACTCCCACACAGTTTCAAACATCCTCACTCTTTCAACATTTAGATTGAAATTGAATACGAGATTTAACATTAACTGTTTTGAGGGCTCTAGAATCTAAAAGTTTTAAAACTGTCGGACTAAGACACAATATATGGAGTGCAAGTTTAATAATAATAGGAGTAGAGACGAGGAAGTAGTTAAGATTGACGGCCAAGAAATACCAACAAGAGCGCATTGTCAATATCTTGCATCGATAATTCAGGAAAATGGCGAGATTGAGGAAGATGTCACACATAGAATTAGAGTTGGGTGGGCAAAGAAGAGATGTGCAACCAGAATTATATGTGATTGCCACATACCAATGAAGCTGAAGGGGAAGTTCTAAAAGACAACTGTGAGAACAGTGTCGCTTTATGGGGCGAACTGTTGAGCGTTTAAGAAATAATATACCTATAGGATGAGTGTAGCTGAGATGAGGATGTTGAGATGGATGAGTGGCAAGACAAGAAGCAATAGAATTTGAAATGAATACATCCAGCAGAACTTAAGTGTAGCTCCAATAGGAGATAAGATGAGAGAAAGTAGACCTAGGTAGGATAGCTATGTGCGTCCCAGACCCAATACAACACCTGTTAGGAGGTGCGAGTTAATTCAAGTAGAATGCTATATATGAAAAGTGGCATTTGTGAAAATTTTGGGGATGCTATATATGAAAAATTCTAAATATACAGTAGCAATCTTGAAGTTTTAAAAACCTATAATGGCAAAATTGAGGTTTTCCTAGAAAAAAAAAAAAACCTGCCGTGACACTATTTCTATTATTAGTTACCATACAGACATCAATAAGGACCTAGGACATTACAATGATGCAACCTTAAAAAATAACACAATCCAGTTCAAAATTACAATGTATCAAGAGAAACCAACATACTTTAGTTTGTTTCAGTGACAATAGATAAGCAGCCATGAAGCACGCGATTCCGTCCACAATGTCTTCTTGCCTTACCACAACATAATCTTCCTGGTCAGGTCCATTTTCTCCATTAATATTTTCACCCTCCCATAAATCAGTCTTACTAATCACATCCCAAGTGCTGCATTCTTCTGTGCCACCTATATATAACAATCTGTCAGCAAAGTTTGAAGATGATGGACAACTAGAAAACTCGTAATTATAAGAACAAAAGTTATTGACAGGATAATGAAAGCCCAAAACCAGTGGTGAGCCCAAGATCCAATACCACACCATTGGCATTCCCTAATGGCCTACATAATTTACGATTTGACTGAGCAATCTGATAGCATTTAAGAGGTCTACCTGCTGCACAATTAGGAACTGACATGTGAATGGATCCCAACTTTTCAAGAAACTCAGGCGATTCGACTCTAGATCTGAGAAGATCACATAGCTGCACAAAGGAAAAATTAAAAAGACAGCTTCAAAAAAATGCTTCAAGGATCAAATACTAAAGATAAAATCACAACCTCAAGGTAGCTAACGTCTAATAAGCCAGTATGATAAACAAAGGAACATCAACAGCATACAGGTTATCCACACAGCAACCAGAAGATAAAAAAGAAGCACAAATGCATCATTTGTGCATCATAATAACTTGAACTTTTAAGGGACCCAGAACAAAAATGATAAACCTCAAGTTTTTCTTAGCTAACTGTTTAACCAAGTGTGTTGACTCACTTTTGAAATTTTGGGTAGCAACTGTTATAGACTTCATTGTTTCAGACCAATAAGGTTTCCCATAAAAACTCTTCTAAAGAGCTAGGGCATGAGCGAGTATAATGTTTCATATAAGGCCTATGTTACAATGCTTCCTCCCGCTCCTTTATCTAATATAGCGCCAATCCTCAATTACTAAAAAATGCAAGTGGAATATAAATAGGAATGGCAGTGGGCGGCAGGAGTGAAGCATGTGAAGGGACATTCTTATGTTAAGCAGGTTATAATCCTATGATTTTGTTAGATAGTAGGATATGAATAACAAATTTCAGAAATTCATACAATCCAAATGGGATTTGGCCAGAAAGAAGTGCCACTATAACATACTGAGGAGCCCTGTTTGTATGTGTGTCTGCAATGCCAATTGTTCAAACACCACTGAGGAAACAGCTCGGGGAGTATTATGTTTGTCTATTTGTGCAATTCAAGCTCACAACTATCACATGATTCTAAACAGAAACACATGAATATTCATCCCAAATAAATAAAAAAAAGGGATGCACATGGCTATCCCACACATCCATTATGGGCAAATTACGATCACTAACTTCATTCTTGTAACATCAAGCTAATTTTCCATAACAGAAACCTTAGAATTCTAAATCCTAGTCCATGGAAATCCCAGAAACATTCTTGTAACATCAAGCTAATTTTCTATAACAGAAACCTTAGAATCCTAAATCCTAGTTCATGGAAATCCTATAAACCAAAAATTAAATATATTTTGGGGCCATTACAGTCAATTATGGGCACCCAACATGCTCTAAGAACAAATGAGTCTTACTATAATCCCATCCACAAAGTTACAATGATCGCATCTCCAAAGAATTTTAGCGGCATTCCCAAAGTCGATTACTCTGATAAGGGGGAGAAAATCACATATCACAATTACCCTTGTGCTCTCACATTCAAACAAAATCACAAATATTCAAGAAATCACAGACACAAACAGCTCAGACTTGCCCCAAGATCCCATTAATACAACATTCCAATCATTAATTTAAGATCTCATTGCAGCAGGTCCAAAACACATCAACTTCAATATTTTCTGCAGATATCAGACATTTAAACTAATTCCCAATCCCTAGAGTCAATTTCACAACAATTCAATAGAAGCAAAACAAAAATCCTAAATCCATTGCGAAAAAAACACACAAGTTACCTCATCTGTTTCGGAATCACAACATTGAGCGGTCCCCTCATCCACTTCCTCTCCATCTCTGGGGTCAGCAGTCGTCCTCAGAAGCTCCATCGCTCTCTGGCATTGCTCAAGCACCGCCTGCAACGTCTGCCTCTTTACGCGGACCTGGTCGCCTTGATCCGAAGCAGACGAGACCTCCATTAAAACCCTAATTCCTCTGCTCCTTGTAAAGCATGCCTGGTTTCGCTTCTGCGAAGACCAGGCCCTTTGTTCGCAGGGCGTCCTTTTATGCGACCTTTTAGGTCTTGAATTGAACGATGTCTGGTTTTGCTTTTGATTGTACGCGCGCCCGCGTGCGTTTTTGTTTTATAACTGAGAAGGAAGGTCACGTCTTGTATTCCTTCCTCATTCTTCTTCTTCGAATGCACAGTGCGGGTTTACCAAAGAACGACGCTAATTAAAAACTCTGCTGCCGTGAATGAATAAATCTGCTTGAATGATTGAAGCCTCTCTTTTGAGGGTGACGTTCGTACGAGGCTGAGGCCCTAAACAATCAAAGTAAGGCACAAATAGTATCTAGAGAGGTTGTTTCAATAATGAAGATGGCCTGAAAATTTATGTTTATCTTTACTTATGAAATTTAAAGTTCCAAAAATAGTGTAGATGGAGCAGAGCTATAAACACTTAAAAATCTTAAAAAATAAGGATCTAAAAAATACATTACAAGATGCATTATTTATAAGACTTCAAATCCATTTTTTCTCATATCCATATATCTTGAGGTCGATATGATAGATATGGGGCCTTTAGGGAGTTGAAACAACCTCTTCTAGTGATTTTTTTATGTGAGCTTTAATTTGATTGTTTAGAGCCTCAGCCTTATATAAATTTTTTTCCCTCTTTAAATATGATTCGTCAAATATTAAATGCCAGAAAGATTCATCGCAGTTCACTCTAAAACATGGTTGCCTCCAAGGTTAGAATGATATTCACGGTGGAAGCCCAAGTAGGGATGGCAATCAGGTCGAGTCCGAGTCCAAATGACTTGGACATGGCCTTGTATGGGTCCCAGTCTAGCTTGGGCCCTATCCGACCGGGTTTCGGTCCAAGCTGATCCAGCCCCATACAAAATATATAAAAAATATATTATACAATACAAAATTCATTTTTTATTTTTTAAATTTTCTAGACTTGAACTCAGGTCAGGTCCAAGTCCATGTTGGGACCTTGTTGGAATGGGTTCATACCTAAGCCGACCCATTTACACCCCTGAGCCCAACCGAGCCCTGAAAAGTTAGAGCTAGGGGCCAAGCTAAGGGTACAAGTAGAATAGGTCAGCTCGGCCCTAACTTTTTCCCTTATTTTTCTCCTTTTCTCCTTTAGAAGCTATTGAGCCTAGCTAAACCTAGATAGGTCTATTTTCTTCTTTTTTTCCCTTTCTAATATGAGAAAGTATAGAATGAGACTATTTATTTTTGGTACAAGGTGAAACATTAATCTTGACCATTGGATGTGAAATTGGGTAGCTGCAATTATTCCATTAATCAAGCTTAAACTTTAAAAGAAATTTTCTAGAACTTTGTGACACATCCAAGCTATCAAACTTCTCATTATATACAATCCCAATTAATTTATTAGGCCTAGCCCAACCTAGACAGTCCAAGCTTGAGCCAGAACCCCTTCAGTCCGAACCAAGCTTAGGCCAACCCTATAGGGACATTGACTAGGCTTGGGGTAGGCAGATTCAGGCTTGGGTCGGCATGTGGCTAGCCTTACTCATAATGTTAAAATTTTCGTATCATATTTAATTTCCATGTAGTAATTTTTTTTTTAAAAAAAAAAGAAGAAGAAAGGGATTTGAAGCCAAAAATGCTCAAATAAAATTCCCCCAACGACGAGTTATGAACTGTGCATTTGAGTGATCATCAAATCTAGCGTTAAGTCTAAAGTTAGAAACTATTATTTAAATATTCAAACGAAATTACAAAAGCATTGTGGTCTACTCATCCTATGTAACACTTTTTTTAGTATTAGACTAGTTCCTTTTAAGTTTCATTTCAATCACGTGTCTCCTAAAAAACTATTAAAACAGCTAAACTACCCCTTTTTAAGATTGATAACACTAATAAGCAAGGGTATTTGGATAATTTTAAGTGGCAACACGAAGCGACCAGATTATGACAATGCTTCTTGTTGTCCAGGGTTAGCAATATAGACCCTTAACAACAAGAAGTTCTTTGCACGCATTTTTGCTGCACCACGCTTCCCATGCGAATAATAGAGGAAGCGGTTGCGACAACGACTTTTAGGCTTCAAACACACCACCAAGACCCCCACTTTTCTCCGGTCGGGAACCCGCTCAATAAAAATCATGGTGTCCAGACTGCTATAGAGCCCGTAGTAAGGCCCGTGCCTTGAAGAGCCCCTGTATGATGTCATTTTGGCCCAAAAAAGAGCATAAAGATGGGCCTTGTTACCCTAAAGACACTCCCCTAAATTCAACCCAATGGGGCGCCGCAACAAGGAGAAATGAGGAAGGTGAGAAAAATGAGTATTGGTGTACTCAATGGCCTCGGGGCCATCACGGATGAACTCAGAAGTCTATAAAACCCATGACTCCCAATATTCGTGCCAAACGGATCTTCCTAGGCCCTACTTTCCAAAAAATGGACATCCTTCAGGATTTTGAAGCTTATACAGTACCAAACACGGCAAAATCCTACGCTTCATCAAAAGTTGGCAAATTTTGCGCCCTTGAATCTCTTGCTTAAGCTGAAATTTGGTGCATTTCGATTGTAATTCAAATACGTGACATAAGAAACGTCACAATCAGAGTCCAAATCAATGAGCATTTGGGGCTCGCAAGTGGGCACAAGTTTGTTTGTAGCATAATTTTGGATTTCCGGCAACTTGCCAGAGCCGTAACTTTGCTGATCGAAGGTCTTTTCTCGTACTTTTTGGTACAAAACAATTGTGGCAAGATTCACTCTGATTTTCCACCGAAAATTGTTGGGTGAGTGTGACCATTAAAGG